CCTGCAAAGGCCCATCAGTGCTTGTTCCACCGAGTGCGTCTCCTGGGACAGGCAGCTGGGCCATCGAGCGTGCTAGCACCTCTGAGAGCAACGCATTAACTGGCTGAATCCCCAAAATACCTGTGAAATAGTTTGAGAACTGCTGTTCTCGAATCTCTACAAGAACCCAAACCTTCTGGAAAGATTTCAGGAGTCTCCTCTTCCCCTAACCACCATCTCCCTGCACAGCTCCTAAGTGGATGACTTGTTCAGGGACAAAGTTACAGCCAGATGTCCCCTCCTACTCTCAGGGGAAGCTGGTTGGCGCAGGCATTGGTGGCAATGGGTCTGTGCTGTGGGTCAAATGAGGGTACAAGGCTGGGGGGGGCGACCCTCATTCCTCAGTGGGTCAGAGAGTGCCCCCACCTCCAGTCTGCCAAGGGCAATAGTCCGTAAACCAGGGGTCCTCAAACTATGGCCCTCGGGCCACATGCAAATACAAATATTGTATTTGTTCCCGTTTTTTTTTTTGTTTTTTTTTTTACTTCAAAATAAGATATGTGCAGTGGGCATAGGAATTTGTTCATAGTTTTTTTTTTAAAACTATAGTCCGGCCCTCCAACCATCTGAGGGACAGTGAACTGGCCCCGTTTAAAAAGTTTGAGGACCCCTGCCGTAAACCAAGAAGCAGAGGAATAGAGACTGTTGTGTGTACCACAGTCTCTGGAAAGGGTGCTTTGAGGAAAGCTGCATGGGTCAGAGATGCGAGAGTGTGTGCACATGACCGAGTGGCCGGTGGAGGGGGCAGCCCCGTTAGGAAGCAGAAAGGGCCTTCCTACAGGCCCTGAGAAGGGCAGCAGGACCTTCACCACAGGGAGGATACAACCACCAGCCTCAGCACCCCACCCCAGAGATTTGGACTCATCTGTTGGGATGCAAGGCCCAAGAGTCTGCATCGATGAGCAACACCCGGGTGATTTTGGTGACAAGCCTTGGGTCCCACTGTGAGACACCAGTTCAGAACAACCAACAAGGTCTGTGCGGCTGGCACACAGGCATCTGGGGCAGACTGAGACCCCAGTGGGGCCGATGCCCAAGCTGGCAGCACCTTGTTGGAAGGTGTCAATCAGGGGTTTCTCTGTATCGGAAGTGGTAGGAACCACCCATTGCAGGGTCTGAGGCAGGACTGACCCCATCACATTTGTAGGAAAAGAGATTCTTTCCCAGTGTTACTAGTTACTGTCACCGGGTGGCAATGGTCAAGGGTGGCAAGTCACCCTTTTAAGGGGCGTGGTTGTCAGCCAGATGCTTTTAGAGGATTTAAGGTTCAATTAAGTACAGTGGATTTTCAAGTTAAATTATAATTGAAACAGTGAAGAATCAATGAAAACATGCTGCAAGGAAGGGTTATCTTTTACATTTATCAAAGGACTAAATCTTGCAAAATAAAAGGTTACAACATGAAATTCCTATTGTTTATGAGACGGGAATTAGGAAAAACCTTGCTCTTTTTGTGCAATGGCACCGTCTGTCCTTTTCTTTTATTTTTTTAAAATATGTTTTTAGCCCGAGCTGGTTTGGCTCAGTGGATAGAGTGTTGGCCTGCGGACTGAGGGGGTCCTGGGTTTGATTCTAGTCAGGTGCAGGTCCCTGGGTTGTGGCTCCATCCCCATTGGGGGGCGTGCAGGAGGCAGCCAATCAATGAGTCTCTCTCATCACT